TTAGTCTAAGGGTAAACAGGGGAGCAGAAGATGAGTATGCTTTCACAACAGTATTAAAATTGCTAAAATAAAGGGAAGAATATTTCCTATTCTTCTACAATCAACCTCTCCAAGTTTTCCAAATGCCTCAAGATATGATTTCATGTTTAGAATATTTAAAAAGCATTCTCTTAAAAAATTGATATGTAATGGAGATGGATTTCATTCCTTTTCTGACATTAATAAACATGAATGATTTACAAAGGGATTGCCTAGCAAAATATTCATCCCTAACATACCCATTCTGTACTGAACTTTTTTATACATCCAGAAAACCAACCTCCAGAAGTTAGAAAGCTCCATTAAATGCATCAAAATACATGTTCAGATTTTCTGAATTTATTACTTCAGCACATATCGGTATTTTTGGAGGAATTTATCCAGAAGCACCACAATTAGAGCCAGAAGGGGCCGAGTACTTTTTTGGAGGTGCCAAAATGGAGACAGAACACCTTAAGAAGCCTAGATGCAACTGTAAAATTACAGTTGAAATTTTGTCCGTCTTCATGTAAACAGATTTTTGTGTATTTTTGTTAGTAGAAGAGAATTAAGCCATATTGCAATACTCTGAATTTTGCTGCAGGTTGAGAGTACATGCACAGCTATCACAACCACGACTGCATGCAGTAACAAGCTGAACTGCAGTAATTAAACCATCTGAGACCACAGTAATGGGCTACACTACAAAAGCCAGAGGTTTCATCAATCTCAACACAAGAGATCTGGGATAGCCTAGGTTGATTAAGAGGAGGATTCTTATCCCTTTTATCAGTTCACGTACTGTGTATTTTGAGGTTGGCGCTATGTTTTTCTCAAGCGTTAAAACAGTTTCCTGCTTCAGCAGGAATAACGTGAACTCTGCAAGCTAATGGCAGCTGACCCAAAATCAAATACAATAGCTGCATGGGTATTATTTTTAGTGACAAAGCTGCCTTAAATAGACTCTGCTCCAGCTTCTGCGACCAACACAAACGTGCTCCCAACAGCCCTCGAAGTTCAGCTGCTCGTGAAGCTGAACAAGGAACCACAGCCGGTGATACACCGAAGAATGGCATGTCCTCTCATGTCCTCTCTGAGTTTTCCTGTGCCCCAAGCCATGGAAAAGGCAGGCTCCATCCAGAGGACAACCTTTGCTCGATACTGCAGGTTGCAGTATCCATTCATGCCATGAATGCCATCCATTCATGTTACGCTCTTACTAAATGTCTTACTAATCTCATGTTCCCAGGAGATTTAAAATATGAAATAGTGCTCTTTCTCCTAAACCTAACGAGATTAATGTTAAACATATGAAAAAATAAGGCCGAAACAATATGTGAAATGCATTTAAACAATTTGGATTAAACAAATATAATCATATGTCCTATTTGTATCTTTACTGGTCCTGAAGTAGTACATAATGCCCTGGTGAAACAATAAGGATCTCTGCTAGCACAGCAGTTAACCATTTCTGCATCCAATCATAAGTATTAATGTGACTGCAGCCAATGCTTTGAACAGTTAGGACTGGCATCTATTTCTATGCCACTCTATTATCTATTTTATATTCAGTATAACAGAAAAAATGGCAACATTTTAGAGAGAAGTAAATGATCTACTATTTGAAAGAGAGAATGCACGAGAGCACACACTGTCATTTCCAAGCATGCAAAAATCGTATCAGCCTGCGTATTGTATACAAGGCTAAAATAAATATATATATATATATGAGTACTTTAGTTTACCTCCTGGATTTTAAGCTTTTAAAATACATGTAGATTACATTATCTGACTTGAGCATACCGTCAGAATCTCATCATGAAGTAAAATAAAATAATTAATTCCATGACTCCAAGAACTGGGATTTGACTAATAGTAAAGCCTTTAATTCAATACAAACCCCTATTCTTATTGTTTCAAGTGGTTCAAACCAGTATTTTCTATAAACTGATATTACTTACAGAAAGAGTTTTGGGTCTAAGGAAAATGAGATCTGTTGTGCATGTGGAAAACAGCCATTCTGACTGCCTACCTACCAGGTCTGGTTGGAAAACAATTCTATGGTGTTTTTTTTTTTCTTCTTTGGGGGGGTGGGGGTGGGTGTAATTTAGTTGATAAGAATAAAATGCAAGACATCTCCAAATATTTACATTTGGAAGCAGAGTGAGAGCTCTCAGTTACTCATGTAAGACACAGGATGTCTTACATGCTTACTCATGTAAGACACAACTCAGGAAGAGGTCTGTACTACCTGGCTTGGAGCAAGGGTTTGAACCATGCTTTACCCTATCCCAGGCAAATGCCCTAATCAGGAGGCTACTGACTACTCTAACATCTACCCCTACTGCTATACTGAACCTTGGTAGAGATTGTCAGGCCCCTCCAGAACGACCTACAAACTCATTATGTGAGGGGCTACTTCAACAGCTGACTTGGACGCCTCCAACAGTGACTACCCACTCACTCCGTACTGTGACCGTGTGTGCTCCCTCATGCACATTCTCTCTTTCACAGCCTGGGCTGAAAGAAAGGCGTTGTAGGAGCCATTTTCTTATTTAAAGAAGTTTTCTTTGAGTCATGAGTTTATATCACCAGCCAGCAGCGTTGCAGGCGTTAGAGACACAATACGCATGCCTCTAGGAGGAAGGGACAGGCACATTTCAAACATGCAGAAAATAAGCAATTAGCTTTTAGGGAGCAGGAGTTTTCACTTCATTTGCTACATAATCACTCTACACTTCCATTTTGGCTTTATCACTCGCACACTATGTTCACACGTGCAAACGCTACCCTGTCCTACACACTGACAGCAGGCAGCCTGGGAGAAGTCTGTACCACTAAGTGAGTTGCAGTGTTCTGCCAACCTACTTCAGTTTATTGGGACTGTGTTTCTTGCCTTTTTTTTTTTTTTTTTTAAAAAAAGATCCAGGATATCAAGTTCCACCCACATCGGCAGCTGTTTTGATGACTCTCTCGCTCTCCTGAAGACCCTGCAAAGACAATTCTCTATGGAAAAGTTCAGAAAATACAGAAAGTCTAACAATTAGGGAAAATATTGTGAGTAAAGAGGTGGCTTTGCACTCACTAGCATTATCATTACTTTTCATCTATGTAATTACTTTTCCTCTGTTTTCTATGTATTGAAACACTTTGTGCTCTCTTCTTGCAATGCACAGCAAAGGACAATACTTCAGCTTATTGAGAAGCACTACTTCAGCATTTCTTATAAAAAAATATCCTGTTTGCACACATGAATCTGTTGATTTGCCATTAAGTTGAATACCAAACGAGTTTTTAAGAAACCACCTCAGCCGCACTGAAACTATACAAACTGCTCTGAATGGATATATAGCTATAGGTCAGACTGATACATACCTGGAAAGACCACTAAAGAGCACCTTGATGCTCCTCATTGTCTATCAACATGGAGGCTCATTAAAAATGTGGCATTCCAAAGCAAGAAAAATGGATCCACACAAATAAAGCCACTGTGCTGCAACATCAATTTTCAGGACAAAGGTACATTTTGCAAACTGCCCCTCCAACCTGAGGCACCCCAAGTTCAAACTGTGTGCCTGCCAGCCAGTCCACGACTTCTTTCTTTGTTTTTAAGCAGCACATTTACTTTGGACAGAGAAAGGGAAAAATAGCCCATAAAGTTCCCACTGTTATGAAAAACAGAAACAATTGCTAGAGTTACAAGCTCCTCACGGACCGAGCCAGAAGATGAACAGCTCTTGGTCTCTACTTTCTTCTATGCAGCTAAGCCGAATTTAAAAATGCAACAATAACAGTGTCATGGCCATAAAACCTGATGCTTACGGAAACTGTTACTTGCCAAACTGAACCTATGCAGCTGCAGCTGTCATGCCATCGGCTTTCAAAAACCCTCTACCCTCAGCACATTTTGCTCACGACTGCCTGGGTTATATGCCCTTCATGCACAGAGCATGCAGAAAAGGATAAATGTGTCACCGCAGACGTCAAAGCAAGCCACCTGACAAAGCCACTCAAATACAAATCAGCCTAATTATGCAGTTTGGTTTCAAAATGTTAATGCCACTTCTCATTTCATAGTTTCATTCCTCTCGCGGTCCAACTATGAAAACAGGCAAGGTCATGAAACTGGTCTGAAAATAAACAGTATTTGAGGGCTCTCAGTTTATTGATGGATCTCCAGAGCCTGGTAAGCGGTCAGTAGTGCCAGCTTCCCCCCCCCCCGGCCCCGAATCAAAGCTGTTCCCTTTTCTTCAAACTTAACTGAAGCACAAAAAAATTAAACCCGACATCACTGTGAGCACCACGTTCAGCACGTGTTGTCCATCACACTTATCTCTAACCCACTACGTGCGAGATTATTCAGTTTCCTTACCCATTAACTAAGTTACCTTGCATCTTCAGTGTCCTTTAGTATTTGATCAAACCAGATTTGAATTAAGGACCTGGATCCAACTATGCCGTTTCATGAAATAAGGTAAGAATAATGTCATTGACCTGAAGCTACGTACCAAGCATCTGAGAGAGAGCCTAGCTAGAGCAGCTGCAACTTCCAGGACACCTTTTGCCGCCAGACGTCATGAATCTTAGGGGGGCAAAATTGATCTTTCCATTTCTCTGCTTTGAAGCATGCGGAGAGCTCAGCTCAGAGGAAAACTCAGTCACACAGACAAGTCATGACCGGGTTCCCTGCTTCTTACTCCAGAGGAGATGTCTCGAGACAGTGCAAGGAGAGGTGAGGAAGGGGCAGGTCTCCCCTCAAAAACCCTTCTCCCCCGTGGCTGCGCAAGCTCGAAACCAACTGTAACTGCCCAAACTCTCCCTATCAGGAGTAGCCGAAAGAGTGCTGGATGCAGCTGCCATGGCTCCTTGGAGCACAGCGAGGAGCACTTGGTGGTTTCTGCCTGACCTTCTCAGGCAGTTAGTTTGGAGCTTTTTAAAACACTTTTGAAAACTTTCTACTCAAGCAGGCAGGCGAGCTGTATTTATAACGTGGTTTTGACAACAGCAACACAGAGACTGCGCATTTTACACAGTTTGCTAGGGAAAAAAAAATCCTTGATAAAGGCACTGCTTCATAAATAACGTCTGTCATGTCCACAGTCCCCATACACAATACTGTCATCTACAGTGCGTGGGCAGGGAGTGTAGGAAATTTGTGAAAAACAAACAGTGAATCACCAATGATTTTGATGGCAGCTCTGCCCTACGTGGCATTTCACCAAGTCATCATTCAGAGCGACAACTTTGTTTCTCAGTTGGCACGACTTAGCGCTTCATCAGATTGCTCACAGAACAGGAGAAACCACGGGCTAGAGTTCACAGCAATGGCAAGGGAGATGATGTAAATAATTTTTTTTTTATGTATATCCCCCCAGATGCTTTGTGTACCTCTAAATCAAGGTAGGCTGAACAGCCTCCCACCTGCCGGGGTACAAGAGCCTGCTCACAGCTCAGAAATGCATGCAGCCCTTCCTGGCTCGACATCTTGGCCACCAGTGCCTGCCTGGTAGCAGCAAACACAGACATCAGATGTCCCTAATTTCAGAGCCTTGCCCAAAGCCCAGGGAAATCAATGCACAGGCCTCAGCATTTTCAGTGCCTCTTAGATCAGACATCAAATCCTCAAATCACGCAGCTCCTCACCTCTATTTCCAGTCTCTTTCCACGCCACTACCCAGAGCTGAGCGGTGCTAAGGACAGCCAGCATGTTGCACACTAAACATCATACCATGCAAGACTTCCGAGGAAAAAAAACTCTCTTAGCTGCAAAGAGAGCTGAATAACCTTCTCAGAAATGTACTGTCACTAATTGCGCTTACATCCCAACACAAACCCAGGGCACTGAAGGTAGATTTATCTCTCTCCGTCAAAATGCTGTAGCCAGAGATCAGTGTCCTGCTAGTCATCTCATAATTATGCTGTACATTTGTAGTTCTTGCAATCTTTCTTCAAAAATAAGTTTCTTCAGCCCATATATCCCTTGTGCCATTATTCTTTGAGTTTCCTCTAACGAGCAAACTCTACTATTTATATAACTGGAAAGGGGGACATGCTCCTTCATGAACCCGCTCACTCGAACCATGCGATGAAGGAACTGCCATTTCCAGGCTCTGCACAGCAGCCACCCTGCAAGCAAAGAATCTAAAAATCACCAACCTTTTTTGGTGGCCTGCAGAAAGATAAAATAGAGTGGCTGTGAAGAATCCAACTAGCCTGCCCCCCTTTTATTTATGAGCTCCAGACAAGGTTATGTAAAAAACTGGATAAAAAATGTAGAACTATATCGGAACTATTTATTGGAACCATAGGTTCCAATTCCTATTTATTGGAACTATAAGTTGACAGCAAGGGTTTCCTTCTCAGAAACTGAGGAGTCCACCAATACTTGTTGAGTTCTGCTTTGAACCGGGGTTCTTCAGGTTATTCAGTAGCTAGCAGTGTTCTTTGCAGAAAAATCAGGGTCCTTTGGAGTACATCTACACCTAGGTGATCTTATTTTTTATATCATTTCTATTAGCTACCAGTACATCTGGGGAATTATTTTTCCCCGTTTCAACTACTTTTTTCAGTAATGCACAGCTTTATATTTAAAAATATGCTATTCAGGATGGAATGTTATAATACAAAATGTTCACAGTTTACGGAGAGGTTATACAAAACATACCCTATCAGCAACAAAATGGAAGAAAATGAACTACTTCTGTTGTCTACTTTGGATTAATTTCTTCCCAGAGCATACAAAAATATTAATCTTAAAACTTTAAACTGAGCTTGGCCTAAACTCTCATTTAGAAACTGGTTAAGTGATTCTGATATTTTAACTTCATCATTCATAGATAAGCAGTATGGGACTTTTAACTCATTTATTAATTATGCAAAATTCCAAGGGCTCGACTCTCACTCCGGATGGGCGCAGGATTAAGAGAACCAACTTAGCAGGCAGCTGAGAATTCCTCTGGCTGATCTCTTGTTACACCAATGACCAATGCTGGCCACAAAAGCCTCACGGGACTGTCAAAAATAGCTTCAGAAACAGAATTGACCTAAAAATCTCATTTTTTCCGTGGAAAAATTCAGGGTTTTGTCTTAAAAAATACTCAGGAAAGATATGTTTTCTGTGGAAAAAAATGATGGCTTGGTCAAAAAGTTCAAAAAACTTTGCAGCTAAGAAAGATGTTTGCAGTCCAAAACGCTCTGGTGTGCCTCATGGGAGCTGCGATTCAAGCGCCTTGTGTGCTTTGCTACCTCTCCCCTCGTGAAGCAGGGGTTCCTGTGACAGACTCCTTCCTTCACCCTCCAGGGATGGCCCTGCGCTGTGAAAATCCCCTACGGCTCATTAAAAGGAACCTGGGGTATAAACCCCACCCTGCAGAATAGCTTCCAGGAGACACGGCAGAGCTATTTTGAATAAAAAGACATTCCATTTTTGTATTTCCACAAGAAGTAATTGAGAAATGCTGACTACGTTAGCCTTTCCTGGATTCCTTTTGAACTATACTGGGAAGCCCCAGAGACAGACTGGGCATCCACAGTCATGCAAGGTTATACGCATTAAGCTCGCATGATACAGTTCACTCAAAAATAAAAAAGAGAAGTACAACAACCTCTATTAGATTTCTGCTTGATGTGATCCTAAGACCTGTGAAAATATAGAAGCGGTAGCAAGTGGCATATGCAAAAAAGGCACTTTAATTATATCTGAGCTGTCTGGTCTAGTAACCACAAAACACCCCATCTGCTCCAGAGACTGTCTGCCTGTGCCTCACCAACTCTAAAAAGCAGAAAGCAAATAAAAACCAATTAAATATATTTAACTTGTTTTTTTATCTCATGATTTTAAGTGTTACCTACTAGCAGAAACTGATGACTCCAAAAGAGATGACATAAGTACTCTGACAAATTATATTAGGCTCTAATAAAAGCCCATACAGCGAGATATATTAAGAGAGAACGTGCAACATCATCCCTGTTTCTAGAAAAGGAAAACCTCGGAAGGAGTCGCAGAGACTTTGTTAAGCTGACGGAGAGTTGAAAGGCAATCCTGGAGCAACCAAAGCTGGGTTTGCTCAGACATGCTGGTGCTGCTGCTGTAACCTCTGAATAGCAGGAGAAGTGTGCGCTGTATTTTTTCTCGAAGACTTTTGAAAGCAGTCAAACATACTCTGAGTCATTGCAATATCCCGAAAACCCCACTTTACAGCTTTGCTTTTATAACAGCCATACAGCGGACTGTCCCTTTATTGAAGTTTTAAAATCCACGTGTGACGAGCAGCATTAGGTACGGCCCACACCTCACCAGTCACTGAACCACAAGGGCAAACTCCCATCTTTGGGCATGTTTAGATTTCTCGCCTGCGGAAAGCAGAGCATACACAGAACTACGGATTCAAATGATGTTTTGGAAAATGATGCACTAGATTTTAAAAGAGTATTCAGTGAGAAGAGGGTGCAGCAAGGACCTCGTCCAGCTCTCGTAGGGAGCAGCATGGCCGGGGAGAAGCTTGCAGCAGCTCCCTGCACGCGCAACCAAGGCTCCAAGTCCTGTTTCTGAAACCTAAAGCTTAAAGAGCACAGGCCCTGCTCCCAAAGCATTTGAAAAGACACATCTCCATCCACAGTCTCCACACAAAAGACATAAACATAAACAAACTCAGAGGCAGACTGAAAACCTATTTTTAGATGAATGAACAGCATGAAAGCTTTCCAATGTCCTCTTCTTACGCCCCTCTTCTGTTTCTTCTCTTCCCCTCCCTTCTCCCCCATATGCTTTTGTTGGTGACTGCCAAATGCTCTCTGCTCCTATTTAAAATTTTTAATGGCAATCTAGCAAACATCCCTGATCCAATTATTTTAATCTATCTGTGTTAAGTGGCCACAGCAGCTGTTCACCTCCTCTTATCGACATTATTAATACTGTAATTGAAATATACATTAGTCAGCTGAAAGAGCCACATAAATCTCTTTGAATTTTACTTTTCATTATCGATTGAGGAAAGTTCTTAGTGAAAAAAGAAGGAACCAAGAGTGTGGGTTTTAACAGCTGGTATGAAGCTCTTGCTTAAAGAAAAAAAAAAAAAAAAAAAAGGCATGCAGACACAGAAACTTAAAGAGCTTTCACTGCAATATCCTTGTAAAATCAACAATTGCTTGCCAGGTTAGGTTTGCTGCTGGGTCTCACACTATTGCCATACGAAGAGCTCCCCATCCCACAGACACGTAGCAGCACAGCATATTGCTTTTGAACTTTTATCAAACTCTACTAACAAAATATCACAGCATTTCAGCTTACTGTCAAAGATTTCTGGTAACGGAGGTCTAGAGAGCAAATTCATTTTGAGGTTTACAGGATCTAAAGAGTTCTTATCAGCATTATGCCCTTTAATGACCTAAATGAGATTATTTGATACAGCTCGTTAATAATCACAAAATTTATTCAAGGGAAACTCAAGTCATAAGCCTGTATTTTGAAATAAG